GCGGCCGCGATTTCTGATATTATTTTTCTGCGAAAACTTCGTTGACCTTTGGAGACATCCTTAATATAAATAATTTTTATGGCCGTTAAATAAGAAATGTTTCTTTCACAAGAAATGTATAAAATTACAGTACTGGACAGACGATAGGTCGCCTAACTCGCCGTAGCGTGACGCTAGACGGCGAAAAATATATATTTAATTATAATAAAGTTACAATAAATTAAGTTAATATATAATTATATATACAGTACCTAATTTATATATAATTAATATATAATTATATGTACAGTACCTAATTTATATATAATTATATGAACAGACGATACTAAACTCAATTTATCCGCCTAAACGTCCGTAGCATGGCGCTACGGACGGCGGGAAAGTAGTTCGGCTGCCAGATGACGTTTTATGTATTATAGGAGTTATTTTTACCGTTGTTTACGGATACTGCCACAATTTTTATAGGAATCATAACTATAGGAAACGGTTTTATAGGGGGATCTACTGTATAGATATATATTTATGTTTTTGACATATAAAAATATATTCTCTGTACTTTGTACAAAGAAATTATTTTGAGTAAGGTGTTAAGTTACATGTTGTTTTGTATTTAAGAAGCCATTTATTATAATTTAATGAGATAGCCTGGGGTGCCCTCTAGTGGACATTCTAGCAGTGGCAGTGTCATTCCATGATATAAATAATAAAATTCATATAAATTACATTATTATTTTTATTTGTAATAAGAATTTATTTACTGTTAATAAATAAATTATACTATTAATTTAAATAATAGCTGAAAATCATCGCTAGGGGACATTCTGTGACAGATATAAAAACAGTGGGAACAATGGCTTATATAAGTAGATTTTTCGTGTTCACAGTTGCATTTTTGTTACTGATTTGGAGATAGCTCAATGATAATGATCTTTTAGAAAATTAAAAAAAAACTTATTTTGAAAATCAATAAACTTTAAGAAAATTTATATTAAATATCTTCAAGTAAATATTAAACTATATAATAGAATTTCTCAACTATCATATTATTTATCATTATGTTCTTCCAAGGAATGCAGCAGTCATTGTTTTAATGGAGATATGTTTTAAGGTATAATTGAAGATAGACTTAATCTGATGGTTATTCTCTAGTACAAGAGACATAATATACAATAAAATTACCATTTATTTATTGTAAATTATTTTGTTCACAGTTCTATTTATAGAACTTCATAAAAAAAAAGCTTTAAATTTTTATTGTATTGATATAAATATTATTGTTTGATCAGTCTCTCAAGAAGTTGTTTTAAAAATTAATTTCTTGTAATTTAGAATTATCTAAAATTATATGGGAGGTATTCAAGATAAATCAATAAAATATAATAAAAATTTAAATAGAAATTTTAAGATTTGGTTTTATATATTTACATAGTTGCGGTATTACGATGCCATGGAAGACTCTCATTGTAAGGGTTATATTGATTTGGCAGAAGTCATATCTGTAAGTCCAACAATGTCTGTGCAAGGAGCTCCAAAAAAAACTGAAGAGAAATCATTTTTTGATGTAAGTAAAACTGAGTTAAAATTTAATGTAGCCATTTATATATATATATATATAAACTGCTACATATATAAATATATATATTAAAAAAACAAAGTATGTTCTGGGAATGAATAAAATAAAATCAAAATGTGTTAGGATATAAAAAAAAATAAAAACTTTACTCCAGTGATATAACTCTAAATAAATGTGGTTGTGGAGAATAGCAGTCATTAGAACTCATACAAGATGAATTAGAAACATTTGCAATTTCTGAAAAAAACAGTTTTTCCAATGATTCTTCCAATTGAAGAAAGAATTAGAAAGTAATGTATTGAAGGTCAGGCATTATTTTGAAAAATATTAAATTTTTTGTCCAATATATTGATCTTTTTGAACATATAAAATAGTAATGAATGAAAATGAATCTTTTTTATAGAAATATTTCTTTTAGTTACAAAACTATAATCTGCACAGTGAAAGAGTAGTCAGCCTGAGCTGGAAGGGTCTATATCAGACTTGTGGGAGTTGATACGTGGATCTTATCACTTTCAGCTGTTTTGGTTTTATATTTTTAAAATGTCTATCTGTGGATGAGCTTTGGCATTCCCTCTTCATAGAATATTGCTGACAGTGACTTGAGATGGGTCTTATCGTTGTTTTGAAGATTGTCATTAGTCTCGAACCTCTGCCCTCCTAGCCACTTTTTCAGTTCAGGGAAGAAGTGGAAGTCTTCACACATTAAAGGTATTTGAAGACTTCCACTCAGCTTGGAACTTTTTAAAACACCCAATGTATAGCCCCGATTTAGCGCTGAGCAACTTCCACCTCTTTCCTGAACTGAAAACATAGATAAGACAAATGTCTCAATCTTTACAGTGATTTATGTTTGTGCCTAACTTTTGGTAATAAATTCATTTTGTTATTTACACTTGTCTTTGTTTTATGGACCATCAGAGGTTGAAAAAACTGCCATCATGGTTAATTTTAAATATTCCTTATAAACAGTGTTAGTTAAAAATGTCATACTGCAAACAATTTATATGTTCATATATTAGCATTAAAAAGTTAAATATGTAAAAAAGCCAATTTAATAGAATCAATACCTGTAAAGACAAAGCAGTTTTAAAAGTTTTTCTTATTTAATCCATATTATAAAGAGAGTTATTTTTTGTAATAAATTTTCTGTAAGTCTGAAAAAACAACTTTACAAAAGAGAATGTAAAATTTAATTACTAATTAATGAATATAATATCAAAATTCCAACAGATAGCAAAATGGTTACCAGTAGTTCATTTATAATGTTTAGTGTATTTGATTTATTTTGCAGAATATTTTATTTATTGAATTTATTTAGCACTGTGAAAATAAGAGAATTGTCATCAGCTTATTCATATAATACAAGATACAAAATGATGCAAATAGCCTATTATAGGCCTTTTACAGAATAAGTCTATTTTATAAAATCTTATATAGCAACAGCAAACTTTTATTAAACTAACATTTTGGCCATATTCAATAACATTCATCAGGTTCACTATTTAGAATTCAAACCAAAAGTTCTTGATCTCTGATTAGTGAATCTGATGGTCATTGAATATACAGTAACTGAAAATGTTAATTCAATAAAAGTTTGTGCTGCTCTACATAGTTATGAATCTATTGAAGTAGTTATTTTGTGTATTAATTCTGTTAGTTCTTTGTTTAGATGCTGATAAAATATTAGCTTTAAAAATATATTTTATATGATATTCAAGATGATATGATATATTTATAAAAAATATAGTTTTCATTTACATCAATCATTTTTCATTAAGTAGGGGAGAGAAGAGAAAGAGTATGCACGTTATGTTATATTTTACATTTCTCAGATGTTTATTGTTTTATAGGAATACATTTTTGTCTAAATACATCTTTCTGCTCAGCTATGTTAGAAAGAAAAGACAAGTAAAGTTTTGACAAGAATTTTACAAAAAGGAGAAAATCCTAATGTGTACTCTTACCCTGCACTGGAGGTTAAGAGTATACAACTTATTGTTTAAGAGTACTCACTAATAGCAATCACAAATGAAACCTCCTGTGCCTTCATAGTCTGAATACCTCTCATGCCACCACTGTGCGCATTGTCCACATTGCGTCAAGTCATCATCGAAAGATTCTTTGCAGCCAGGACAGAAAATGCCTTCATCATTAGCCCTATCAACTGACAAAGTGGAAGCTTGCTGGTCATTTTTCACAAATCCAAGTCTTTTTTGTGCCAATTCTATTTTTACCTTTTTTATTTTTTGGTTTTCTCCTTTCCTTCTGCTCTAAGATGTTCCTGAAAGGATCTTTGACTTCAGTACTGTCCATCACTGCTATGAATAGTACTCTTACCCTCCAAAACAAAATTCCATAAGCTTGCTGATAGAGTGCAACTCCAGACAGACACTGACATGAAAGCTACCCCATACTTTAGCTTCGATCCCTATTTTTATCCTTTCAAAACTTTACTTTTACAACCCAGGCAACAAAACTAAAAAAAGCTTGTAGCCTGAGTTTGCAAAATTACTTCCAGAAACACAAAAAACATTTACTAAGCTATCAATGCTCTGGCGGCTCACAGACCAAGAAAAGTTGGCTCCAACCTACTTTGCCATCAACAGTAAAATGTGTGCATGGGAAACTCTGCAGTCAGTATTTCCAAATTTGAGAAACACACAATGTGTACTCTTAACTGCTTCTCCCCTAGATGGCAATTTCATATGAATGTATTATTTTTTAATACAGTAGAGCATCGTTTATCCGAATCAATTGGGGACTGGGGTGGTTCGGATAACTTATTTTTCGGATAACGAATCATGTACGAAAAAATATATTAATTTATCCCATGTTGAAATTTCTCTCCGTTGCATGTCGCTTTGCGTTGAATTTTCGTCGATGTTAAGCCTAACGAAGACTATTGTATCGTTAAAAATTATTTTTTATTTTGTACAAACAAAATAAATATATTGAAAAATATAAAAACAATAAAAAATTATACTTCAGAAGTTAATTTAGTATCAAAAACGTAAAATATTTGAGTAGCCCGAGAAATAGCCGAAGATTGCAGCACCACAGCACTGGCGAAAATTTAAATTTGCCGACTGGAATGCTTTCGGATAACCAGCTTTCGGATAAAGGACGCTCTACTGTATATAGGTTAAAAATGGACAGGGTCCATACAGACCTGGAAAGTCAGGGAATAAGATTTTTAGCAGAAAAAGTCAGGAAAAGTCATGGAATAGCATTGAAAGTCAGGGAATCTGCAAATACTAGTGTTGCAATGAATAGTATATTTGGCCTTAGGCCAAATACAGAATATTCGGCCAGGAGCGTGGTCGAATAGCCGAATATTCAGCCAAACTATTCGGCTTGATTAACGCATATACGAAAATTGGTGTGCAAAGCGCATTATGGCAAGGACACTGCTCTCTATTGGCCTGCTGTCACTACGCTTCGTCAATCACGTTAATTCTTGACAGTTGTAGCGGACAGACACGAGCATCATGGCACTATGTGATAAGTGATGATATCAAATGTAGATAACAATGAAATGACCTACACGTGTAAATAACGGAAAAAGAAGAGAGAAGGACAGTGAAGTGAAAATGTGAAAATAAATATGAAATTCTGTTGATAACATAATCAAACAAGTCGAGGCAGCTTATTGGCGTGAAATTCGCGGCCGTCAATGTAAAAACAATTGTTATCATAGACTTCGGAAAGCTAAATGCTTGTAATGAAAGAAACTTAGCGTGCACGGGTGAAAGCCTGGGGCCATTCGAGTTACCAAGCTGTCTCGAATCTGTGAAATCATAACTGTGACTTATACCGACATCCTATCTGTCTCTTTTCTCCGTTATCACCAGGCTATGAGTCACGTAATTGTAAAATTGGAAATCTACGACGGAAAAGTGACGAATCGAAAGTATCGTGAGCGCGTATTATGATGTATGCATAGGCATATGTGGACTAGAGTGATAGAGGAAAGAGAAAGGGAAGAGCAAAGACGAGCACTTAAAAAGAAGGATAGGCAGGGTCAGACCCTCACTGTCAGATGTGCGACGATTCTCGAACGAATAAGTGTGTACATCTGCTGATCTTTGTAATTATAAATTGTGAATACATGTGACTAATATTATTTTCTTTTTTATTTTGTGCATGTTATAAGTTATAAATAAATATAAACAAACAACACTAACCCAATAACATTAAATCTAAATACCAAAATGATTAATTTACTGTGTTTTTGTTATCTCTTACTCCTGTTTTTAGGTATTCGGTATTCGGCTGAATAGCGAAAAATAGCCACATAGGCTGAATACTGAATAATAACCGAATATTCGTTACATCACTAGCAAATACTGCAAAATCTGTCTGTCACTCTCACACCTTTTTGATCTGAATACGTCTTTAAATTCAGTTCAGTATAAGAGAGATCTACAAAAACTTGAGCAACCAAAAGAATGGCAAGATTTGTCTCGCTTCCATTTCATAAAGTATAAATGATGATCTAACGATTAAAATTATGTTGGATAGAAGATTTATGTTCATATTTAAAATGGTTGGTAGTGGGGGTGTGCAGCTGTCAGTGATGTTTGTGGCTGCATATGAACATTGAAATAGCACCACTGCATGGCATTAGGGCAGTGTATAACTTTGAATTACAAAGAGATAGGATGTTGAAATTGGTGTTAATTTGTACAGAATGACAGAATCTACAATATTACTTAGCAATAATAACCAATAAAATAGAATTTGTAAAGTTATAAGCTGATAAGTGTGAGAGTTGAAGAAATTTTTCATAATGTCAAAGAAATTTCAAAAGAAATACGAACAGAAATGTATATCATTGGAAAGAAAAATTTTGAAGTAATCAGAAAAGTCCAAAATGACTAATGCCAGATGATGCAGATTATATAGAGAGCGTAAGAAAACCGAGCGCGTCAACTCTGATGCGAATACTTCGAGTCCAGTCACTTGAACTGATAGACATTGACTTGGAATGCGATAACTATAAAGACTACAGTGGTACCTCAGGATACGAAATTAATCCGTTCCGAAACTGAGATCGTATCATGAAAATGTCGTAAGGTGAATCAACTTTTCCCATACGATTACATGTTAAACCAAATAATTCGTTCCAACGCGAAAAACATACTCAAATTAAAGCCAAGTAATACATTAAAAAAATAACTGTAGTAAGGAAAACAAATGAAAAATGCGAACTAATGTAACGTCGTATGGTGAGTTTTTGTTCGTATCGTGGAGCAAAAATATGTTCGAATTTCATGTCATATCCTGAAAATTTCGTATGCTGGGGCGTTCGTATCCTGAGGTACCACTGTATTTGTTTATGTCTTATCCTTTCTCTAATAACACAAATCAGATTCACGCTTTCAACGATTGCAATTGTGCCCCGTACACAAACCTCCCAATCAAAAAAGGTCAAAAAAACCTGCAAATATGTGGTTAATAACCCTTTGCAGTCAGTTGATGCCGTGGGGGAGGCAAAGAACTGTCTATTGGCTTAACAATATTGTATACTGGACATTTTGGATTGCATGGTGGACATCACGCAATTCATGTATTTTTATTCGTTATATTCGCTACTGACCACATACAACATGTGGAGATAATCCTGCTAATTTTGATGGGTTGATGATCTGTGATTTGTCCTCTCTCTAATTGAAAATTTTCGTCTTTGGATGCCCCATAGAATTTTGAAAGTTGGGTTTTCAAAAACACCATAGACAGCGACTTGCTTTTCCACCAAAATGCCACTGCTCTCATTATGAGTTTTTGGGAGGAATGGGAAGAAATGCCTTGAATGGGTCTGTGCTGGATCAAAAATAGCACACGATAAGCAATTTCTCCCTCTCACAGAGTGCGTGATTTATTCTGCTTAAATTAAATTAAATTTCCTGCCTCCTCGCTTTAATAAAATTCAATTTTACAACACAACACATGAGTCTTTTTCTTATTTAAATATTTACGAATTAATGTAAATAAAATCATGAAATTTTTTATGATATAGAAATGATGTACCTAATTATGTAATCGATTTTATGCAAAGTTTTTATTTTTTTGTAAGTGAATAAAGTGTTTTGAATAAAAAATTTATATAATTGTGTGCAAAAATGGGCTTAAATAGAATTGGCCGAATATTACATAATAGAAAGGGGAAATGCAGAGACCTTAATAGGTCAGGGAATAATATCATAATTGGTAATGGAATCACAGATGGAATTACTTGTATGGACCCTGAATAGAGTGAAATTTTAGGAAGTAAACTACATATATCTAAATCATATAAATTATCCATTTTATTCAATTGGGATTTTTTTTACAAACTATTGGGCTCTAGAAAGTAATATTATAATGAATTATCTTTACTTACCTTGGATAGAACGTATGTTGTTGCAGTTCTAAGTGTATAAGAACTTGATTAGCATTATATATTTAAGATATCATGTTCTTGCAATATTAAGAATTATATTCACTCTGAAATAGAATTTGTTTTAAATTATCTTTCAAGTATTGTAAGCATTTTATATTGAGAAAAAATGTTAGGTAGTTTTGGTTCTAAGCCTTCAATTATTATCATCTTGTTAGTGAATTCTTTCATATTAAATTTAAATTTGTTTTTGCAAGATTTTCATTTTTGTATTTTTTTAAAAATTTAATTTATGAAAAAGTCTTTTAAAAATGAATCCATTATTAAGCAAGCATATTAAAAGTATCATTTTTTTTCCCAAATTTTGTATCTTTAGTAACTAATTCATGTCAAACAATATTTTGCAATTACATCATAGAATTCTGATAAATTTAAAAATGTAAAATATTTAGTTATTGATAAACTTTTTAATCTTGGCAAATTTGAAATCATAGAATTAAATAACTAATAAAAATTAAATTTATTTTTATTTGTTATTTTTTATAGTTGCGCACAATTAGGAGAATATACAACTTCATGGCGGCAGACTCTCAAACTGCTCAAGAGTGGATCGAGAAAATTCAAGCTTGTCTTCAGTAATGATAATGTATATTCTTCAAGAACTGCCATATATTCTCCCTGGGGAGACTGTAAAATTGTGTATAGTCCTTTGTTATTGTCATCCGGCTTTTATGGAAATATTTCTGTATATATATACATATATATATATATATATATATATTATGTCTGCATGTTTAGAAAAAAATAAAGTTTGCAGATTTTATATTTAATTTTTCAGACTGTAGATTTCATACATATAAATTGTTCTAAAGTCATAATAATGCACATGTGCATATTTGCAATGTACCTTACAGTACATATACATTGCTCATAGTAATTATTAATAATAATAACAATAATTCTCCCATGGTCACCACCTGGTCGTGGTGAAAGAGCCTAGTAATTTTACTGAACCATAGAGCAATGCAAGCTGGAGCACAAGCTCCCAGTAGAGATACCCATGCCAGTAAGGTCTATGGGGAGAAATGAAGCTAAGACACCCACCCAACTAAGATTATCACACCCACATTCTGTGGAGGTATTTATCATGGTAGTAACCAGGTCTAAGTGTGATACCGGCTTGGATGTCGTCTGGGTTAACAAGGTCCACGTTTGTGGGTTAGGCAGAGGTTCACATTCGAAAAATAGGCCACGGCCTCCTTTGGTTACCAGTGGCAAAAGCAGCGCTGGCCCAAGCATGGCTACTGCAATGCCCTCAACAGATGTGAGGAATCAACCTAGCCTTGGTGTTTCTATGGCAATGCATTCACAGACCACAAAGGCTGGAAAACCATGCAAACGGAAATGGACAATGGAAATGAATGAGTTTATCATCCATACTTACTACACCATCACAAGACTCGAAACAAACATGACAGCATACAGATAACAACTACACCAAAGATTCACACGACAATATCCTCACCTCACTGTCACTGAACAAACGTTGCTGATCAAAAAAGAACAATTATCTCACAACCAACACTTGAACTTATCAAACAACAGGTTGCTGATCAAATACATCAAGAGACAGAAACATTTAAAATTAATGAATATCATGTAATCTGTCAGGATAATACAGCAACACACACTGATTATATCACACACACAACTACTACTACTAATGATACTACAGACACTTCCTCATCCACCACTGATAACATAGACATAGATTTAGTTAATATGCTCTCACTTATATTTCAGGAAACACTCACTAAATATACTGGTACAGATCCCACACACAGACCACAAATACCAAAAATCAACACGTCAAAGGTAGTAGGAAAAACAGTAAATTATGTAAACACTCACTCACTACCACACTACATCCATTTAATTTCTACACTCTCAGACACTCATACATTAGTTTATGCTGTGGTGGTCACAGTAGTGACACACCATGGACTGAAAATACAATCACAGACAGACACACACAAAATACAATTCTATCACAAGCCTGCCTGGCAGAGAAGAATAGAAACGAATAAATGACATTAGACAGCAATTAGGCAGGCTGACACAATACACTTAAAACCCAAATTAAAGAAACAACTCAAAAACATTTTCAAGAAAATCAAAACACACACAAAACATGAACATCACAACACACACATTACATCGATACACTAAAACAGAAACTCGCAGCCAAAGCACGTAGACTCAAACAATACAAGGCGTGTATTTTACGAAAACAACAAAATAAATTATTCACAAACAATGAAAAAGTTTTCTACAGACAAATCAGTACCAAAACAAACACTGATACACAGCACAGTGGCACACCAACAGAAGAAGAACTCACAACTTATTGGTCTTCTCTTTGGTCCAATGCTGTTACACACAATGCTGATGCAGGCTGGATCGAGGAGGAGAACAGAAACTTGCACAACATACCAACTATGCCCTGTGCTGAAATAAACGTACACGACATTCGCTACGCTGTTAACAGAACACACAACTGGAAGACACCTGGTGTAGACAACATTCACAATTTCTGGTACAAAAAGTTTACATCACTGCACCAGGAACTAGCTAAACATCTAACACACATCATCATCAATCCACAAGACATGCCAAAATTTCTTACTCAGGGCATCACCTACATGAAACCTAAAAACAACAAAACCACAGACCCCACACAATACAGACCAATTACATGTCTTCCAACACTCTACAAATTATTGACATCCTGTATCACAAACAAAATATACAAACATGTTGAAGAACACGACATTCTTACAGAACAACAAAAAGGTTGCCGTAGAAATCACAGAGGATGCAAAGAACAGTTACTCATAGATTCAGTCATTCTACGGCAAGCACACAAACAACACAGAAACATACACATGGCATATATAGACTACAGAAAAGCATTTGACAGTGTTCCACACAGTATGCTGGGGTGTCACTACTGTAACCACCCCACCATAAACTAATGTATGAATGTCTAAGAATATATGACATATTCTACACATGTACAAAATACATTCATTACTCATTGCATTCTTCCAAAACACTATGCAGCACTGGAGAACAACACTGCATCTCAGGGTTAGTAACACTTCCATACAAACAAATGAGATATTCATTAGACGAGGAGATTCCTTGAGTCCTCTCTGGTTCTGCCTAGCTCTGAACCCATTATCCAACATGTTAAACAACACACATTATGGCTACAATATCAGACATGAAAAAACAATACAGTTTACACTCACATCTCGTATACATGGACAACATAAAACTTTATAAATCCACACAAAAACAACTCCAACTCCTACAAATCACACATTTATATGCCAAGGACATAGAAATGGAGTTTGGCCTAGACAAATGCAAAGCAATTCACATAGAAAAAGGAGCCCAAAAAAAAAGGAGATTTTGCACTTGGGAATGGAGATGATGTAGAACTTGCCCTCTTCCATGGATTCAATAAGAATTTAGGAGTCCAGTAGGTTAAACACTATTCTCAGAACACAGTTAAATGCAAAACACACAGTTAAAGCAATAAACACATATGTCATCCCAGTACTCACTTATTCTTTTGGAGTTATACATTGGACTTGCACAAATCTCAAGCAACTCCAAAGGAAAACAACAACACTTACTAAGCTTGAACATCATCATCCTAAATCTGCCATAGAATGATTAACTCTTCCACATAAAGATGGCAGACATGGCCTGGTTGACATAGTGCAAACAAACTTCACTACAAACAAATATAGATACTGCAAGAGTTTTTCTACAAAAAAATCACAGTTACATAAAACAGTAACTCTAGCAGACTCAAATAACACACCATTAAACTTACACTCATATACGGATACAACATATAAAAAGCATAGACACCAATAAGCAATCATGGGCTTGAAAAGTACTCCATGGCAGACATCCCTATGACCTGGCCCAGGAATTTGTTGACTAAACTGCATTAAAAAGCTGGTTAGATTAGGGATGCCTCTTTGGGGAGACAGAAGGATTCATGATTACCATACAGGATCAGATCATAAATAATAAAAACTACAGAAAACACATAATTAAAGATACAACACTCACAGAAAATGTCAATCATACCAGAAACTTTACGACACATCTCTTCTGGTTGCAAGCTCTTGGCGCGCACAGATTATTTAAATAGACATAATCAAGTAGCAAATATAATATGCCAAGAGTTTGCAAAGAAACACAAATTATTAGACATCCGCAAACCATACTCCAAATACATTCAGATAGTATTGGAAAACAACATGCACAAAATGTACTATGACAGAGCCATAATCACAGATAAAACAATTTACCACAACAGACCAGACATTACACTCATTGACAAACACAATAAAATCATAAACATTATTGACATATCCATTCCAAACTCTCACAATGTACAAAACACATGCACTGAAAAAAATCAGCAAGCACACAGAACTCGCCCAGGAAATAAGGTATCTGTGGAAGATGGATAGGGTGCTTATTGTACCTGTCGTTCTCTCCTCTGTCATACAGGTGTCATATCACACACACTACACAAAAGTATGAGAACATTACAGTTGAATAGAAAGACATATCACCCTGAAGAAGGCCATTATTATATTGAATACATGTCATATTGTTAGGAAATTTCTGAATACAGACACACACTGACACACTTATTTAATTTTTGTCTTGTTTTGGTTACTTTGCCTTGACTCTGGTCAGCATAGTACACAGCAACTGATGTTAACAGATTATAACTCACAAAACCCAACATTATGATGATGATAGAACTATCAAATCAAGCAATAAGAGGCACTCCAAAAATTTTAAAGTTAAATAAATGCAGTGTGAAATAAAAAATTAATGCTTATCAATTCTTCTAAATAACAGATTTTTTAAAAGTATATTTTACATTGAGTTTTAAACTTATAAATCAAAACTCGAAACTTATTCCGAAAGGTGACTCTAAATTTACTGTATTGTTTTTTACTGTAATAATGCCAATTTTTAAATTAAGATTCAATTTGACATAAATTGCACCTTCAGATCGAATTTTGGTCACATTTTAAAATTTGTTATGACCTGAAATAATTAGCACTTAAACTATTTACCAACTTTTTAGTCTTGACATTTCATTTCCTCTCAATAAATTTAAAAAGTGATAATTTGAAATTTTTTCAAAATTAATTTGATAGAAAAGTATAAAAAACAGAACTGAAAACAACTACACTTATATATATTATGCACAGCACTGTAGCTAGAGCCTGGCAAAGGGGGCACGCACCAGAGGCAAAACCCCAGAGGGTGCAATCAGCAAAGCGATTCCTAGTAGTTCAATATATCTAGTAGATTTTTGAGGGCACAAAATCAGACACTTTCTTTGGGTGCAATAACCCTAGCTACGACATTATGTAAATTCTTTTTGTATTAATTAAAAAAAAAGGCCCCATCAGTGGCCAAGCTGTCTTTGTTCCCTGAACACTGGGAGTTCGGTCGTGGGTTCGCGCCTCGCTTGGACGGGCTAGCCACGTGGAGTTTTCCGGGTTTTCTCCATGTTTGTAACGCCTAAATAGGGGCCAGTTTCCCTTAAAAAGACCTCCCAGAAGGCATCCCCCTAGGCAGATCGTCAGGGCCGGATCATCGCATAGACAAGTGAGACAAATGTGTAGGCCCCGGTCAAACTTGTCTATTTTG